TACACCCTTCTTGAAACACTTCTTTCTTGAGGCTTCTCAGACACCATCCTCTTCTATTCTCCTCCTGTTTTATTGGCCTTAACAATCTCTTTTGTTGATTCTCCTCCTATCCTTCATCTCCAAATTCAGCAGCTCCCAACCGGTTAATCCTGGACCCTCTTGTGTTCTCCATATACACTCTCTCCCCCACCTAAGCCTTATTAGATGACCTTATCTAATTAGACTTCATGTAGGGGCGCCTGGGTGGCTCAGTTGTTAAGCCTCTGTCTTCGGCTCAGGTCATGATCCCAGGATCCTGGGATCAAGCCCCACATCAGGATCCCTGCTCGGCCGGGAAGCCTGCTTCTCCCTCTCTCACTCCCCCTGCTTATGTTCCCTTTCTCGCTGTGTCTCTCTCTGTCAAATACATAAATAAAATCTTTAAAGAAAAAAAATAATAATTAGACTTCATGTAACCTTATGTATTTAAGTTTTTTTTAGTAAGCACTATGCCCAACATGGGGCTTGAACTCACAACCCCGAGATCAAGAGTCGCATGTTCCACCGACTAAGCCAGCCAGGAGCCCCAACCTTATGTATTTAAATACAATTTATAGTCTGATGAATCCTGAAATTGTATCATAGCCCTGATCTCTCCTTGAATTCCAACTGCCAATATAGTATGTCCGATTGGATTTCTAAAATGTATACTTCAAACTTAGCATGACCACAATGGAACACTTAATTTTTTTCTTACCATTTCTCTCCCAGTCTTTCCAATTTCAGTGGAGCCATCAACATTCACTTGGTCACTCAAGACTCAATTTTTCTTTCTTCTTTTTTTTTTTTTAGTCTCAATTTTTCAAGTCATTCTTGATCACTCTGTTGTCATCACTAGAAACCCCCACTCTGTTCCATTGTCTTATCTATTTGCAAGCTCTGTGGCTTTACCTCCAAAGCATATCTGGTACCCACACACTTCTCCCATTTACACTACTCCTATTTTAGTCAAGATCACCAATTTCTTGCTTAGAGTATATTGCAACAGTCTCCTAACTATCCTCCTTGTCTCTTATTTCTCCCCCTCTCACCGAACAAGATAAGCACCCTAGAGCAGCCAGAATTATCTTTAAAAAAAAAAAAAAGTTATACCCCTGCTTAAAATGTCCAACTACTTTAAATTGCACTTAAAATACAATAACAACTCTAATACCATAGCATTCAAAACCTTGTATGATCTTAGTATCTCTTCAAGTTTTCTTGTATCACTATACTCCTTGCCTTATATTCTAGCAACTCTAGCTTTCTTATTGTTTTTAGTGTGAAAAAAAATTTCAACACAAAAATCCCTGCCTTTATGGAGCTTTCACTCTAAAAATGGCAAGATTTCATTCTTTTTTATGGCCAAGTAATATTCGTGTGTGTGTGTGTGTGTGTGTACACCACATCTTCTTTATCCCTTCATCCGCCGATGGACATTTGGGCTCTTTCCATGATTTGTCTATTGTTGAGAATGCTGCTATAAACATAGGGGTGCATGTATCCCTTCGAATCAATATTTTTGTATCGTTTGGGTAAATACCTAGTTGTGCAATTGCTGGGTGGTAGGGTAGTTCTATTTTTAACTTTTTGAGGAACCTCTATACTGTTTTCCACAGTGGCTGTACCAGTTTGCATTCCCACCAACAGTGCATGAGGGTTCCCCTTTCTCCACATCCTCACCAACATCTGTTGTTTCCTGTGTTGTTAATTTTAATGGCTGGCCTTTTTTTTTTCTTTTCCAATATTCAAGTCTCAGCCCAAATGTGAGTATCCTAGAAAAGACTTCTTTGGGGGTGCCTGGGTGGCTCAGTAGTTAAGCATCTGCCTTCAGCTCAGCTCAGGTTATCATCCCGGGGTCCTAGGTTCAAGCCCCACGTCTGGCTCCCTGCTAGGCAGGAAGCCTGCTTCTCCCTTTTCTCCTTGTCTGTGCTCTCTCTTGTCACCTGTCTCTCTCTCAAATAAATAAATAAAATCTTAAAAAAAAAAAAAAACAAGACTTCTTTGACACTCTAAGTTGCCAGCATTTCCCACACTTCACATTTTCCTGCTTTACTTTTTTTTTTTTTTTTTTTTTAAAGATTTTATTTATTTGAGGGGAGCCTGGTTGGCTCAGTCAAACGTCTGCCTTCGGCTCAGGTCATGATCCCAGGGTCCTGGGATGGAGCCTTGCTTCTCCCATTCCACTTGGCTCCTCCCTCTGCTCATTCTCTCTCTTTCTCTCAAATAAATAAAATCTTTAAAAAAAAAGATTTGTTTGGGGCGCCTGGGTGGCTCAGTCGTTAAGCGTCTGCCTTCAGCTCAGGTCATGATCCCAGGATCCTGGGATCGAACCCCCCATCAGGCTCCCTGCTCTGCGGGAAGCCTGCTTCTCCCTCTCCCACTCCCCCTGCTTGTGTTCTCTCTCTCGCTATGTCTCTCTCTGTCAAATAAATAAATAAAATCTTAAAAAAAAAAAAAGATTTGTTTGAGAGAGAGCTCGCAAGAGCAGGGGAAGGGGGAGTTGGAGGGGGAGGGGTAGTGGGAGAGGGAGAAGCAAATTCTCCGCTGAGCAGGGAGTCCTATGGCCGCTCGATCCCAGGACCCTGGGATCATGACCTGAGTGGAAGGCAGGCACTTAACCAACTGAGCCACCCAGGTGCCCCTGCTTTATTTTCTTTATAGCACTTATCACCTGGAATTATCTTAATTTCTTCTGTTCCCTCTACCATATACAGTACATATTCAATAAATATTTAAATATTAATAAATAAATTCAATAGTATACCAAAATGAGTGAATTTTACTGAGTATAAATTTAAAATTAAAAATTTATATGAGGATCACCTGGCTGACTCAGTCATTAGAGAGTGTACCTCTTGATCTTGGGGTTGTGAGTTTGAGCCCCACATTGAGTGTAGAGAATACTTAAAAAACAATCTTAAAAAAATATATGAAATGCAGGTTGCTGAGGTTCACTCAAGGTCTTCTGAATAAAAAATTTTTGGGGTGGTGTCCAACTGTAATATGTGTGCCCTCTAAAGTTTCAGACCATTTCTCAAAGTCCATGAGGGTAACTTGTGCTCTGTAGTCCAGATAGCCCCCTTCCTCATGTCAACTTCCCCTTTTGGGCTCCTTGACATTTCTGGTCAGCAGACCTCATTTGGGACCATCTTAATCCATCAGAGAGTGTGATATGTCAAATCTCAAAATGGGGAAAGTTTTCTCTAGAGGCCAAAGGATACAGGAGCAGACCTGTCCAGCCTCTGGCATTGTCTGTCCACTGACGGGGCTAAAGGGGAACACTGGAATGACTTTCTTAACCAATATAATCTCTCCTAAGGCAACTGACTTCCATGTGTCCAGTGAAGAGTTACTTGCATCTGCCTCATCAGGTGGCAGGTGGGTGGCACGGCCTCAAGAGACAAAGCAGGGCACCCCATCCGAGGGATAGCCCTCCACCGCGCGGGCAGGTGCCCGCGCCACCCCAAATACGTTTCCTTCTCAGTTAAGTTCAACAAGTGTTTATGGACCACCTCATTCTAAGTCTGTGCAGCCTCGTCCCTGTGGAGGAACAAGACATGGTCTAGTTATCAAGTTGCTTACGAGGCAATCAACTGTCTTGAAGTTTTTAAAAACGCTATGTTCTCCTACTCTTTCCACTTTGTTGCCAGTTTTTTAAAATAAAACAGTGAGGAGGACATTGTTGAATGGATTTTACAGATTCCCCTCCCCACCCTTGGATGTATTCTATTCTCAAGTCTTTTGCTTAGTTGTGCTTTCTTCCTCTTTTTCTTCGTTAGCCAATTAGTTTAGCAGTTTTGTCTGTTTTATCACCAGTAACACTTCATTCGTTTAAGTTCCAGGTTGGGAGGTATTTTTACATGTAAATCTCAATCTTCAAAACAATGTAGCAAGGTAGATGTTTTGGAGGGGAAAACTGCTCCCTGAATGTTCAAAGGTTCAAGGTCTCTTCCAGATCTAGTTGCCATTCCTATAAGGGGTTGCTATCTAGGGCTGGGCGTCTTGCTCCAAAGCTTGGGTTCCTTTCTGTGCACTTGGCTGCCCTTTGGGAAGGCAATTTTATGGGATGGTAGGATGTGGAAGCCTGAGGTTAAAAAATGAGTGACTGAGTCACTGGTTAATCAGTGTCGAATAATACTTCGTGTTTCTGAAAAAATGGGAAGAGGGAAAAGGAGAGATGCGGTGAGGCGCTCCAGGGTTCGGCAAGGACTGAGCACGCACGCAGTCGCGGGGTCAGGGGTGGGAGGCACCGTCAGCCCAGAATGAGCGCGCGGCGGGCGCCGTACACCTAGACGCTTGGAGCCCGAGGCCCAGGAAGGCGCATGCCGACCGGCCGAGGCCCGCGCTGCGTTCGGGGTTCGCGCGTAGCATCGGTTCAGCTGAGCTCCGCAGGCAGGTCGGCCTCAGGTGCAAAACTGTGTGAGCGCGCCAAGCCGGAGCACGCCCGTAAGCCGGCGGCGCGCTCGTCCCGCCACGTCCCCTGGCTCGGCGTCTCAGGACACCGGGCCTCTCGGGTGTCGGGGGGGGGGGCGCTGGCTCGCACCCCGATGAGCACTCCATCCCCTCTACCTGGGCCACCGAGGCTGGACGTTTCCCCACCTCGGCGGCCACGGGACCCTCAGGGCCGGCTTGACCCTGAATCCGAAGAGTCGGCTTTTCTGATTGGCTTAGAGTACAAACGCAGGCGAGCGCTGCCTGAGACCCGCTCTTTGATTGGGTTTTAAATGAACAGCAGAGCACGAAATAAAGAGGCCTTCAGTCATTGGGCCATTGTGTGAATCTCCTTTTGGCTTTCTCTGCCGCCTGAATAAGCGTCTCAGGATCTTCGTCATGAGTCTTAAATCTGGGCCTGTCAGTTCGCCCCAGCGTTACTCGTCTCTAGGCAGGGCATGGGGTTTACAGAGTTCAACCAATCATATAACGTCGAGATCAGGTTGCCAGGCAGATTATGCTAATAAGGCCCCGCCTTTTATGCTGCTCCCACTCTGCGGCGGGAAGAACCACCTGGAGGTGGCGGGGGGGGTTTGATTTCCATCACCCCTAGGGAGAGAGGATCGGGGACCCGCTGATCTTCCAGCTCCCCTCACCCAACGTCGTGTAAGTACCTAAAGGATTAAGGGAACCGGATAAGCCAGCGTCCAGAGTACCCCATCGACTGGGAGGGTGTTTCGTCTTTGCTTAGTCCCACCCAAAATGGCGCCAAGCTCTTTCCGCGTCTCAGAGCCCGGCCGGGGCCAACCGACCGCGGACCCGGGTGGGGGGGGAAAACTGATGGTGGTGGTGGGGGGGAGAAATCCCGGCGGCACCGCCCGATGGTACAGTCCAGCCGGGGCTGGGACAAGGCACCTCACTCGGGGTGGGGGGTCAAACCATCTGCACCTTCTAAGGGGAAAGGGGCAAAAACCCCTAAAGGAGCCCCTCCTGGCGCTGCGTTCAGCGATGGCTTCGGCGCCTCTTGGCCCCTGCCTCCCCCGCGCGCAGCCTCCCCCCTGCGACCCCCGAGTGGCTCGCACGCTCCGCCGGCCGCGCGCACCTCTCCTCCCCTGCCTGCGTTGGTTGGGCCGGGACGGCAGTTGGGCGCCCTGCGCGCTCCTGCCGCAGCGGTTGGGCCGGCGCTCGGGGTGCGGCGGCCGCTCGGGGTG